ATGGATTTTTAATCAGGGTTGGAATGCATCAGAACTGAGGCATTAAGTTATATCAATATTAGCTATAGCAAAATTATCAGCTGCACATCAGTAGTAAAATTTTGGGTTTGTTACACTAAAATACAAATACGTATTTGTTATAAAAAAATTTAAAATTTACGTTGTTGATGCATTTATATAAATATTCATTGATGTAACTTTTGTACCACTTTAACCAAACTTTAAATGTCCACCGTCACACACCAGAAAATTAAAGTTTGAATTTTATTTAGGCTTGAACATTTTTCCTTCTTTAAAAAAGAATGGATTCTAAACAACTTCGTACACTTGGTTACAATTATGAGTTTGGTATTGGTGTTGAGAAAGACGAAAAGAAGGCTTTTGAATATTATATGAAAGCAGCTGAGTTAGGAAATCCATCTGCGATGCAAGAAGTTGGTATTTGCTATTATTATGGAATTGGAGTAAATAGAAATTACCAGAAGACATTTGAATATTGGAAGAGATCTGCTGATTTGGGTAATGCTGAAGCAATCTGTAGTGTTGGTATTTGTTACGAATATGGACGTGGAGTTGATCAAAATTATAATAAAGCATTTGAATATTATGAAAAATCTGCTAATATGGGTTGTGTTACAGCAATGAATTATGTTGCTCGACTTTATAGAAACGGTATTGGTACAAAGAGAGATATTCAAAGCGCAAATTATTGGTTCAAAAAACATAGAAGCCTTTTGAAAACTAATAAATCACCAGATCATATCAACCCTGAACTTAAGAGAATATTAGACGATGAGAGATTTAAATTATCATGGATTGATTATAATGAGTTCAAAGATATTGATGAATTAGGAAAAGGAGGATTTTCAACTGTATATTATGCACGTTGGCATTGTAGAATTAACAGTACATGGAAAGGTGGTGCACTTAAAGTGATTCGTGATTCAAACGAAAATGAGCAAGAATTTATCCAGGAATTGAAAAATCACTGTGAAATCGGATATGAGAATCCTTCATTCTTAGGATGCATTGGAGTATCAAGAAATAATTATGGTGACTATATTATTGTTATGGATTATGCAAAAGGAGGTTCATTACGACAAAATCTTGTACAAGTATCACAATTAGAATGGAAAGATAGATTGAGTATCTTGTATTGTATATCATTGGATCTTGAGTCTATCATTTGCTGAAACTTGTTCATAGAGATTTACACAGTGGAAATATTTTACAAAAAGCAGGTAATTTTCATAACGCATATATTACTGATCTTGGACTTTCAAAAGAAATAAAGGAAGGAAAAATTTGTGGAATTCTACCGTATATAGCGCCTGAGGTTTTGATGTGTCAACCTTATACTCAAGCATCAGATATTTACAGCCTTGGAGTTATTGCGACAGAGATTTCGACTGGACAAAGAGCATTTGATGGAATTCCGTTTGATAATTATCTTTTATCAAGAATTATCGAAGGATTAAGACCTAAATGTTTAGGACCAGATTGTTATATTAAATTAGCAATGAAGTGTATGGATAAAGATTTTGATAAACGACCTACTGCAACAGAAATTAAGGAAATAATCACTCGTTGGTTAGATGAAATAGATCAGGAAGATGATAATGAAATTAAAAAGCAATTTTTGGAAGCTAATAAGATCAAACCAGAACAGATTAAGCAAATCCATTCTCAAGATGCATATACTAGCAAATTATATGTTACTGAAAATTTTTCAAAATTTATTAGTAAACCATTGAATTAGCAGAATCTCGAGCAAAATCTCATATTTAAATTATATAAAAAGAGTATTTTTTAACGTACACTTGGAAGGTGCTACTGTAGGAATATTTTCATAGGCATAAAATTTTTTACACATGAATCCATATATATTACATAGTCAAATATTTTATTCTACTTATCCTATAAATTTTAAATTACTGTTCTTATCATTGGTTTTTCTTGTGTGAAATCTTCAAATCAATATTATTATTATTATTATTATTATTTTGGCGTTGAAGTTTGTCCCAAAAATTCTTTGAATCTAACTTCTAGTTATGAGCAAGAAAGCGTTTTGAAGATCAATTGTTTAAAAGTTTGACTGCGCTCAAGTTTTTTGTAGTTTTGACGATAGGGAATATAGGACTTTCCCAATATACTAATTGTTGCTAATGCAATGCTGTACAACTTTACCTTTCATTATTAAACAACATTTGTTTATTTTAAAACTACAGTAGTTATTTATCGATTCAAAAATATTTATTTTAAAATTTATTTTTTATTCGGCAATTAAAATAACCTTATAAAAATATCAACTTTAACTGATTGAGATTGTTAATTGCTTAACAACTTAAAAAAGCGATTTTTCATATTACAATATGAACGGTCTTTTTAACTTACAATCTACTATATATATACTGTATATACGGAAAACTATAATATTTACGTATCTAATTATAGGTTAAAAGTAATGCTAAAAAAATTTTTTTTTGAAAATTGACATTCGAATCTATCATTAACAGTAGTTACCAACTAATCTTAAAGCACCAAAATATTTCAAGAAACGGTAAGAGTGCTTCATTCTATAGTTAAACTAGCTATTTATTTACTTTTATTTGCATAGATATTAAAACAAACAAGCTTTTTTTATTGATTGTGGCAAGTGCTTTGTTTGCTGCTTTTTCAGTTTCACCAAGAGAAAGGTCTTTGTGTAATAACTTGTCTAAAAATGCTAAAAAGTCCAATTAATCGCATTAAAATAAATTGATAAAAATAAATTATAGATTGTAAAAAATGCATATCCATTTTAACCAACAGTCTAAATTAAATGATTGTATCCGTTATCAACGTCAGATAATGATTCTATTTATACTAGTAAGTCAAAGCAAAAGCAGCAAAAGCTACTGAGCAAATTGTGATCAAAGCTTTTTTGGGTGTAAAGTTCGTGAGAAACCATTATTATCAATTACAAATTTATAACTGCGCAAGATAAGTCATAATGAAGATAGCGGTAATCCCACAAGTTCTTCTGCCTTAATTCACCTTCTCGTCATTAAAATTAGCTATGTAATCAGTATCTGAAATTCAATTTCTAATTTAGTTGCAGACCCGCAAATCTTTTGAAAAAAACGAAATTTATAGGTAAAATTTACAATTTTACATGCGGAATCTGCATATGCACTTGACTCCGAACCCAATTTCAGACACTGTATGTAATCACAGCTTAAATTTTGATCTAAACTTAAGAATTATTTAAATGTGACTAACAAAATGTAATTTTCAGAGAAGAAATAAATAAATATTTCATTTATTTCATTAAATTGTACAAATAATTTAAAAAATATTGAATCTGCTTACACCTAAATAAATAGTTAGTTAAAATGTATTAACATTCAAGTTCGATATTTTAAGAATAAATTGAATATCAATTTCAAAATCTTTAATGTTAGTATAATTATTTCAAATTCAACAAAAAGTTTGTCCATTTTATAAAATAAATATATTTTTTCAAATATCATTTTTGCTATGTCGATTTATAAACAGAAAAAATAAAAAAAAACGATTTCTTATTTATACAATTTTTTAATTCTCATCTTTATGTGGACGATTGGTTTATAATTAATAACAAATTAATTATTTTTTATTAACAGATGCACGTGTTATTACTCAGGCTAACACTGAAACATTTCTTTTTTTTTTTTTTATTAACATTTTTCTATTTCTTTATCTTTTATCAGCTTCGTCATATTTTGCAGTTTCGTAACTTCCGTCTGTTTTGTCACATTTTATCATTTTTTCTTTTAAGGTTCTGATGATGAAATATGAAACTATGTTTTACGTTTAGTCAACGCGAGACCTCAGGACATTGCCTAACAGCTATACCTATGAACAACTCACCTGATCTGAATTAAATTCTTCACATTCATTTCATAACTAGTTAAATAAATAAGTTGCAGATACTATATAAACTAATAGTAATAGTTTAAAATTTTATTTTGATGCCAAGACTAGAATTCGGTCAAAACTAGAACTGTCGCCTCTGATTGTTAATTTAGTATCAGTCAAGTTTCGTAAAATTTTTGCAGCTAGATTCAAAGAAAAATATCCAATATTTTTTAAAAAATATTTTGTAAAATATTTATGTTAATTTCTGCAACGTTTGTAAATTTTTTATTCAGTGGGAGTCTTCCCCGAATCATAACTTTTAAAAATATAAATTTTGAAAATAAATAAAATTAACTCTATTATAGTGAAATTATTTAAATAAATATATAATCTTATAATACGTCAGAATGTATTAAAAAATTTAAAGTCTTGGTTTTTAAGATCATGCTTTAAATCATTTTCCATCCCTAGTTTCAGTACAGTACGTCTAATGCTTCAATTCCAATTAGTCTTAAAGTTAAAAATTCCAGAGCTAATAAATATCAATCAATAATTTAAATTGGCAGCCCTAGCTGTCAGAAACATGTTATGAAATTTGTATGATTACTGTATTATCATTAAATTTACAACCATTAATAATATACTGTACATGTATGAATCGAACCTTAATTACGGATGCCAGTTGTTGTTATCAATATGATAATATAGCAAATATGTAATGTATAATTTATAAAATATGTATGTAGAGATACCCGATCAATTATAAAAATTATGTAATGTATGACTAAAAAATTATGTACGTATTACGATGAATAAATTATGTACGTATATACTATATCAATTTTGGTGCAAGAAAAATCCCGTCATCGGGGTTTTAGGCTCCAGAAACGATCTCTAATAATTTAGTTATGCCGAGTCTGGCAATAATAATTATTAACGATAAACTTGAAATCCCGCAGTACCTATTGCTATAGTATAGTATAATAAATTAAATGATAAAATAAATGATAATAACGATTCTAATGATAAATGATGCATAAGACATACCCTTATATATATCAATAAAAATAATTTGATTTTTTTTCTCATTCTTCCTTCTTAAATATATATTTAATTACCCAATGGATTCTGGTTCAGATTCGAATATTGAGGAAAATTATAATTTTAAAACTGGAATTACGGAAGAATTTTCCGATTTGGATGTTGAAGAATTCAATGAATCATGGTTCAATGAAGATTCAGATCTAAATATGTTACAAAATTAAATTTATGCGCTGGTATTATATTTTATTTGTTACTTATAGTTTATCTATTAGAGTGATATAAGAGATGCAAGCGAAAATCAAAATTTACAAGAAGTGGCATTTTTTACAAAAAAATTGTGTATAAATCAAATTATCCACACTGCATTACCTGTAGAATATCCTTCAACATCCGTAGAAGGAGTTGCAACTATATATAATGTTAGTGGTTGGGATAATTACATGGACACATTTAATAATGTGAGCTTTTTTAAAATTATAGATTTTATTTATTTTATATATAATATTTATTTAATTATTTTTTTATTTAAAAATATTATTTAAGATTCAATATTCAATCAATGGTCGTGGTGGTGCCACTACTATTCAAGATTGCCTCTTTTTCGGAAATATTTCTGTTAAAAAGGGTGAGCGACGATATCAAGGAATTAAATATTGTGAATATAGTAATTCTAACTATATTAATATATCACATAATAATGTTGATGTTGATTCTGATCTTTATCATCAAATTGTTGCTGATCAAGAGATTAATAGTAAAAAATCAAAACATACTCGTAATTTTATTTTAAATTATTTGTATTTTTTTAGATTATTATTATATGAATTAATTTATTTTTTTAGAATTTATTTAGCAGCAATGGAATCTAAGTGCAAATTTCAATGAAATGGAGTTTTTTGTTCTGGTAGTGCTAAACTTGGAAAAATTGTAAATTATTCAACAAATATAACATCATATTTTATTGGATGTACTGAATATTGGCAAAATGACAAATGGCATCATTTTATTAAAGTTAATTTAGATGAAATTGATTTATTACTATTAAAAAAATTATTTATAGGCGAACAAATTGATGATGATGATCAAGTTAATTGCATTTCAATAATTTTATGAGGCTGTAAACGAAAACAATGTGGTAAAGTTTAATTTTATATTTTTATTATTATATATTTAAATAAAATTAATAGTTTTAACTATTTTTAGAATTTTCTCATATTAAAGATGGACAAGTTATTCGAGGAAATATTATTGAAAAACCATGTTCTGTATACTTTATTAAAATTATTCTATTTGATATTTCAACTTGTCCTATTGTTGCACTTATTTGTATTGGAACTCATGATCATCCTCCACCACCTAAAAAAATACCATCAAATATTAAAAATTCATTATAATTAACAATAATGAAACTTTAACTTCAGGTTTATTTATGGCAGATAATATTTATTTTACATATATAATTTAATTTATAATTAATTAAGTAAAATTTTATTTTAAAAAATCTTATTAAGGCATCATTTAATGTTGAAATACTTAATCAAGTTCATGTTTCACTTAATAATATTGATCGATTGTGGTATTTAATTAACAAAGCTTACAAAGAATTATATCCATTTGGACAAAGTATCATGGGTGTGTAGTATCATGTATCAAAAAAAATTAATAATTTATATAAATATGTTAAGAAAATTGGTATATATATATATGTATTATTATTTAATAATTTATTATTTTGTAATTTTACTAATAACTTTTTTAGAATTTTTTCAAGATGGTCATGTTATAATTATTTGCATTTTATCTGAATTGGCTCATATCTTGCAAAAACTAGCTTCTTTTCAAATTAATGTTAGCTACAAAAGAGTCAAAGAATCAATTAATAAATTTGAATGCAATTCTTATAATAATAAACATAAATTACGTAAGTTTATATTTAAATTATTATATATAAATATTTATTAATTTAAATTACTAAATATATATTCTTTTAAAGTTATGTTCTACTGCCGAATTTTTACAAATATATTTACTGTAGAAGGATATAAATGATTATTTCAAACTTTGTTTCAAGCAATTAAAGAAATTACGGGTGAATATGTTAAATTTCATCATATTCATAATGATAGATGGGCTTGTATTTTAGCAGATATAGATCTTGTACAAACGACAGGATTAGGGTTAGCTATAGAAGAAATTAATAATTCAATAAATTGGGATGAGCATCTTTTGTATATATTCTGAACATGTTTAATTCATTATATTCGGTAAATTTAATTTATATTTTTATAAAAACATTAAACATTTTTATTATATAGTATTATAAATTATTTATATAACCAGGTAATTTAATAATACTAAGCAAAATTTTTTTATTTATATATATATAGAAATATTCAAAACAAAAATTTTACTACATTTGCAAACAACTTAATGTATTTGATTTCATATTGTGAAGATAAAGCCACTGTATTTAACATTTTCGATCAATTATCAAATCTCAAAAAGATAAAATAAAAGATATTTATTTATTTATTTATAAAAAATAAAATTTATTAAACTATAACATTAATTATTTATTTTAGAATGGATTAATTATTATCGTATTCCTTATATAATTAGTTCTTTAAATTATCATTGTTCAAAAATTGATTATATTATTTGGATTCAAGTTAGTAATAATACTAATGCTGCCAAAGCAGCTCATGCTTATGCAAATCGTTCTGGAAAACAACTAAAACTACTTTCAGCTATTAATCAGTATATAATATAAATAAATATATACTGTATTTTTATTAATTAATTAAATAATACTATTTATTATTTACAAATATATACAGTAGAAAAAAACTAGATGAAACTACTGTCAATCGAATGCAAATATATACAAAATTTAATATTCCAGTTTCTCAACGTGATAATGGAGAAATTAAGTTCAAAGCAACTGCAATGACTTGTAAATCAGCTGCTACAACACAAAAAAGTATGTCATATTTTTTATCTAAAATAAAATATAGATTTTATATTTAATTTAATATTTTAACTGTTAATAGAAAACAAGCAACAGCCAAAAAGAAATTTATCAAAAAAAGTACCAAATAAAATTATAATTTTTTCAGATTCTGAGAAAGAAACTATTTCAAACAAAAAGCATAAGTCGGAATCAAATGAACTTTATGAATTAGAAATTGAAGAACAAAAATAATGCTTAAAGAATGTGCTATCACCATTTGTGAAAAAGAAATTGATATTTGGAAAAAGGAAGCAGAGGTAGAAGCATTAGAATTAGCAAATAAAAAATTAAAAATGAATTAGAACATGTTTAAGCAAGCATAATATTACTAAATCAATATATTATGCATTCTCAAAGCACTAGAATAAAATAAAATGTAGAAATTCTGAAGTAATTGAGTAATCGGGTTTGATAAAAAAAAAATGTAGCAATTCTGAGATACGTAATCGAGTTTCAACTAGAGTAAACGGGTTTAGAATAATCGGCAAATGATTAAAATATGTAATGTATAGTTATTAAAATATGTATGTATAATTAATTTAGTATTATACCATACAACTATACAAACGGCGGTATATATTACATACTTACAAGTCTATACAAAGGTTTACTAATTTCTCCTACTAGTTCCTATTGGACGAGTACAGATCTCATTTCCGATTGGAAAAAAATATCCACATCACTGATCGAAGTCGTCAAAATGTAGTCATTTATGTGCCACATGATCGTCATGCAAAAATTAAATTAATTTTCTTTTTATTATTCAATACTAACGTTTAGTAAACTTTCATGAATTTAGCAGCTTTTGCTAAAGCGATCGATTAAATAATTTCTCTTCGATTTTATTAATCTACTGCATTGTACTGTTCTGAAATTGTAAAAAAAGTTAAAAAAAAAAATAAAATAAAAAAATTTAAATCGAAATAAATATTATTTTTATTTATTTTTTTCATTGAAAATGTCAACTTCGCTTAAAATTGACGATATTTTCGATATTGATGAAGATGTAGACATGGATATTAGCGATAATGAGCTTGACATTGATAATATGCTTAATTCCATTCTAGATGCATCAGATGGCACTGGTCAAGCATGGGAGGTTGTGGATGATGATCCAGAAGAAACGCCAGGTGAAGGAAAAGTAAATACATATTATTTTTCAGTGGACGAATATGCCAAATGGATTAAAGATCTCGAAAAGTTGGGACTCAGTTATTATCGACATGATCATCAGATGAAATTAGGTGCAAAAAGAAAAAGAAAGTGGTCTGAAAGATGGAATTGTTATTGTTATGGAGTATACGATAGTGTTGCTGGGAAAAGCTCAAATAAAAAGCCACATTTGGTACAGAAAGATTCTAAAAAATGCGAGTGTACAAGTTATATTTTTGTTACCCTTCCCGTCAACTTGTCGACAGTAACATTGAAATATTACTATAAGCACCGTAATCATTATCCTGGCCAACTTTCAGACCTGTGTACACTCCCACTTTCCGAGAATATTCGGCAATTTGTTCTACAGTGTGCTCTTGAGGGCTTGACGTTTTTAGCATACATAAACTTATGCAATTTCAAGCAATAGAATTACAGGATCAGGTTTTTTTATATTTATTATTTGTCTTCTATTTTTTTATTTTATTTATTTTTTATTATATTATTTAATTTTCTGTTCTATTTTTTTTTTAATTTTTGGTTTTATTTTTTTAATTTATTTCTTTATTTAATTTTTAGTATTTAAGTTAATTTGTGGTTCTATTTATTTAATTTACTTCAGTTCTTTTAATTTTTGTATTTAATTTAATTTTTTGTTTATATTTTTTTAATTTATTTCTTTTTTATATTATTTAATT